AAACAGCCTACAGTATTTTTACAGTCTTTATTTTACAGTTAAAATATATTTTTATTAAATAAAGTCTAATGTTACAACTAATCAGGGATCCCTTAAAGACTTACAGAGGAGCAGAGAAACAACTAAAACAACAGGTGCAGTGCTGTGAAAATAAACTGCCGTGCCTCTAGTTGGCAGTATGGCTCATGTTATTACTGGAATATATTCTGGTGATCTGTGAGGCAAACGTGCACTTTAGATTTAGCTTCTGCTAAGTTTTGTTGGGCATTTGCTCTTTAGAACTTGCAGACCTAACTTTTGAATTAGCGCTGCTCACCTCTGCAAATCATGCAATAGTGGTCCAGTGTTAATAACAGGAGGGTTCTGTAACCGAAGCAGTCCCTCTGTTTGTTTGAATGTTTTTTTAAGTGAAGTGAGTTCACATCTTATTTATCATATCACCCTTTATAATCCTATTGTTATCATTTCACCTTCAACTTTATGGAAAATAAGAAAACCAAGCTGATGTTTGTCCTCCACAGGTGCATTGTGAAGATCACAGGAGATGTGACGTTGTCGTTCCCCATGGGCATCATCAAGGTTTTCACCACCAACCCGTCCCCAGCCGTTCTCACCTTCAAACTGAAGAACACCAGCAGGCTGGAGCAGATCCTCCCCAACCAACAGCTTTTATACAGGTGCCTCTCACAGCTGATCGAGTCATGGACCTGAGAGCCAGAGGGAGTCAGACATACGAGTTCAGACCCAGAAAGAGTTGTCTGCACCGATGAGAGGAAATTTAATTAGTAATCTGACATAAAACTGTCATTAAGCTGTCAGGGAAGTATTTTCCACAGACAGGTCTCCAAAAAGACCAACACTTCATATAACATCTGTTTCATTCAACACTTCAGTCGTTTCACAACTTATTCTTTTTCTCACCTCATTAGCTAAAGGTATTTCACCTCAGTGATACTTTCAGTAAAGCTCTGAGCTTAATGTATTTGTTCTGAACCTTAATTTTTTTTCCAAAAGAAGGGAATTTTTGTTTCTTTTTTTTTATTCGTCATGCTCTCGCTCTGGTTCCTCTCAGTTATTCTGAAGCCACAAAGCTGGGCTAATTGAATCAGCTGCAGCTCATGATTTAGTAGCTGGTTGAATTTAACAGGCTCATTTTTTCCAACCTATTGGAGCTTTACACACAAAGCCAAGAGGAGCGGTGAATAATTCAGCCTCTGATTACCCTCTCTTTGTGTCTGTGTTTGCCTTTTATCCAGTGACTCTTCCCAAAGTGACTCAGACTCCAAGGACTTCTGGTTCAACATGCAAACGCTGACGTCCTACCTCAGAAAAGCCTCTGAACAGAACCCTTCAGCTTCCTACTATAACGTGGACATCTTAAAATACCAGGTCAGTCAGCCAGCACACATCGTATAACTTCATCCAGACAAAACAAGACAGCTTAAAAAATATCTGTAAAAGCAGATTTTCTGTCTTCACACAGTCCGAGTCTTGGAAAAAGACAAAACAGTAACATACGACTGGTGGAGAGGTGGGGGCACAAAAACATGGCAAATATATTTTTTAATATCAGATGTAGTTTTGATTCTGCTGCTCTGATCACTGTTTATTGTAACGGTGCTGTTTTTATTAGCCTCTATTTGAGGCTGTCATAAATGTTGCATCAAATGTCATGTGTTACATGTCATTTCCTCATTTTACTCAAAAACTTGCAGAGCTTTCTGAGTAATGAATTAAAATTCCAAATAAAGTAAATATGGCAGGATGAGGACGTGCTGTCATGGGAGGGATTGATTCAAATGTTGAGGCAAGTCAGTGTTAACACTTAATCAAACTTTGGAAAAAAGACATCATTACAGAAAAAATACATTTCTCTTCAGACAAGATTTGTTGGTGAAGAGGAAATATTAAAAACTACTTCAGCTGTGTAAAGGAAGCTGCATGTGTGGACTTCAGTGAGTCGAATCTTTAACATGTCCTCTTTCAGTCAAAGCTTTAAAGGGATCCACGATTAGTTGTAACATTAGACTTTATTAGATAAATGTGACCCATCACATCGAAACAAGGATTAAGTCTAAAAGTGGAACATGGAAAAATAGGCAAATGTAGTGTTTTGATTAAAACGTTCGCAAAAATTGCATTTTTTCAAAACATAATGAAAAAGTGCCGTATCATTGTATCATTTAAATGAACTGTCTGAAATTTAATCATAAAACAAAATTTTCAAGCATTTTTTGAGCAGCAGTAACAAAAAAACCTGATTTTGAGGAAAAACACCTTAAATTTTTGAGATTTTCCCTGTGAGCTAGCAAAGTGTTGTTTCTTTTCAGCTGGGAAATTTCTATATTC